TTCGAATGTGGATTTTTATTTTAAATTCGACGAATATTCGAAATTCGATTTTTTTTTTTGACAGCCCTAGTTTCCTGTAGTGTGTTTTGGCACATATTACATTAGGATTTAGTGGCTTTAACAAAAGCCATGAATCGAAGGTTACCGATTACCAGTAGAGACCAACAGGCACCATTACAGTTTCCATTAAACCCAATACAATTTTCATTATAACCAGTAAAACATTACAAATTATGATTGAAATAAATGTATTATTGTATGAACTAAAATACTTGAAATCTACATAAAAAGAGCAGAATGCAAAATGTATATGACAATGATAAACATAAACCTAGAATCTAGAAACCTAAAACAACCGAATTCTTCAATTTGAGTATTCATAGGTCTCTGTGTGTGTGTGTGAATGTACCCGTTGTAGAATCGCTTCTGTCTCTTTATGAATAAATGGAATATTCATGCCAGACAATGCGGAGTGATAAATAGCAGTGGACGCTTGGACTAGGGGTGTCCTGTGATTTTACTATAGTGCTATAGGGTACATGCTGTGTATAGTGAGAGAGGCGGGCAAAGATAACCTGATGTAACTGTTTGCTTTTTTTCCTTTTAGCTTCTCCCAACTGCCTTTATCTTCATGTCTTTTGCTTGCCATCACGAGCCCTCTCTCCTTCACGTCAGTTTCGTTTTTTTATACGCAAAAATAGATTGCATTAGCGCCCCCTTTTGTCGGCCTTCAACGTCACTTAATCTGACACTTTTTCTTTGATGATGAACCAGCCCGGCCGATAGCCATTGGATGGATCGATGGCCGTTCTGGACTTCTCCAGAATGTCCAGATGGCCAGTCCACCCCTGTTCATACCCTTAACTCAGTACTAAGCTGAAGCGTCTTTACAGCCCTTTGTAAGTCTTTAAAGTCTTTTTTGGGTATGATGTGACAAGCATTGCTCATTAGCATTTGACAATTATCTGCCATTCTTCTCCTCACCTCTTCACCTCTCATGCTCTGTCAGGTTGGATGGTGGCAGATGCACATTTTTAGGTTTCTCCAGAAATATTTGATTGGGTTCAAGCCCAGGCTGGCTGGGCCATTCAAGGACATTCACAGAGTTGTCTATAAGCCACTCTTGCTGTGTGCTTAGACTGGGTCATTGTCCTGTTGGAAGGTCAACCTTCCGCCCAGTCTGAGGTTCTGAATGCTCTGGACTTGGTTTTCATTAAGGCTATCTCAATATTTTGGTGCACTGAGCTTTTCTTCAACTCTAACAAGTCCCTCAGTCCTTGTCGCATGTGGCTGCTACCAGCACACTTTACTTTTGGGATGGTAATCTGCAGGTGATAAGCAGAGCTGGTTTCTTTCAAACATTATGCTTGGAATTGAGGTTCATCAGACCAGATAATCTTGTTTCTCACAGTCTGAGGGTCCTTTAGGTGCTTTTTTGCAAATTCCAAGTGTGTTTTCATGTGTCATCACTGAGGAGAAGATTGAGTTAGGCCACCCCGCCATAAAGCCCAGATCAGTGGAGTGTTGCAGTGATGTTTGTCCTTCTGTAGGTTTCTCCTATCTCCACATATGATCATGGAGCTCAACTAGAGTGATCATCAGGTTCTTGGTCACCACTATAACCAAAGCCCTTCTCCATCAGTTGCTCAGTTTGGCCAGGAGGCCAGCTCTAGGAATCCTCTAGGAGTCCTTGTTGTTTTAAACGTCTTCCATTAATGGTAATGGCGACTACATGCGTCTGTGAACCTTCAATGCAGAAGATTTTTTTTTAGCTCTTCCCCAAATGTGTGGCTTGATGCAATCCTGTTTCTGAGCTCTACAGGCAGTTTTATTATTATTATTTTTTTTTAACTCGGGGCTTGATTTTGCTCTGATATGCATTTTATATAAATCACCTTTAATTAAGACGTGCCTTTCCAAATCATACCCATTCAACTGAATTTGCCACAGGTTGACTTCACTCAAAGTATAGTAACATCTACAAGTGATATGAATGCTCCTGAGCTAAATTTCAACTGTCCCAGACAAGGGTATGAATACTTATGCAATGGAATCATTTAAGTTTTTTATTTTTAATAAATTTGCAAAGATGTTAAAAACCTGTTTTTGCTTTGGCATTATAATGTATGGCGTGTAGATTGATGTGGAGAGAAAAAAAAGGCAAGGCAGCAACATAAAATGTGAAAAACTGAAGGGGTGTGAATACTTGTGCAAGGAACTGTATCCTCTGAAGTCTTGATATATAATACTACATATCTAACTTTACATCCTTACTGGAAAAAAAAGACAGAAATATTTAAAATGTTTTAATAATTTTTAATTGCATGAATTTGCATTAGGTCTGCACGATAAATCGCATGCGATATTTAACGCGCATCTTATCAGTAAAGCCGGTTCTGTAATCAGCGGTAAATCTCCATCACCTGCGGGCTTTCACATTGAGCAGCATTAACTACACAGAGCCATTGTTCACTGACAAGATGCGCGTTAAATAGCGCATGCGATTTATCGTGCAGCCCTAATTTGCATATAACATTAAAGAATGTGTCTGCTATGAATTCGCTTTGGATAGAAGCGTCTGCTAAATGACTAAATGTAAATGACTAAATGTAAATGACTAAATTAATTAAATATCAATTGGCATAAACAAAAAAAAAACTGTTACATGATATACCATTGCTATCTTTAATGAGACATTAGGGACAATCCTAAACCTTTACTGAGTTTCAGTTCATTTGCAGTTTTCACTAGGATATTGCTCGTTTTCTGGGTTGTAACCCGCCAGTGCAAAGCATTCGGCTGCTTTCCTGTCACATTCACAGATGAACATCTCACAGGGGCGATTCTTGTCAGCTGCAAGAAACAAAAAAAATTAACAGTCCAAATATGTGCCACAAGCCAGATGCAGTTTAGGTCTCAATTACTAACAGAGCTTGCAGATAGACTTCTTTAGTTCAATCTTAGTCTTACTTACAATCAAGTCTTACTGAGTGTAGCGTCTTACCATTGCAGGTTACTTTCTTTGCCGCTTTGTCACATGAGAATGAGTAGACTTCAGTGTAGGGGTTGTCTAAAATACCCCAACAGTCTTCATGTTGCCATGAGTCAGAATAACACTGATCATGCACCTCACAGCACCTAGAGAGACAGAGAATACAGTGGACATGATTTCAAAGTTTGTTGCCTTCATTTTTATCAATAATTATTCTGTTTTAGGATATTTGTGTTGCTTGGCTGCTGTGGAAAAGAAACAAAAACTGTAGCCACTTTCTTGATGGAGAAATGCCTACAAAAAGAAATACATTTGTGCAACATTTGAACATTTATAAACTATGCACTAAACGTCTCAGCCTGAGAAGGCCGAAGTGTGACTTACAAAACTGATTCAGCCGATTAATTCAGTGTCCCTGCATATAACCTGATGGTTAAATCTGACCTGTCCAGTTCATCCACCGGGGTGCCTGAGCCTCCTAGTCCACAGTAGCATCCATAGTCTACGTAATCCAGTATAGGCCAGCTATCAGGGTTGGTACAGATGATCATATCCCTGAACTGCCACACCGCACGGTAGTCTAGAGGCGCCACCACTGTTGAACAGTGATAGTTTATCAGTGCTTATACTGATTAGCAATCTAATTATGCAATAGAATTAAAATGTTATGTAAACAACAGACTGTATTCTTAATTATCAGCTGTTCTATACTTACCAAACTGCCTAAAAAAAGACAAAAATGCTTTTAAATTTCAGGCTTTAAATTTTAGGAATACAGTACATGTGAACCATTTTTTATCACATATTTATATTTGTTTTACATGCACACACACACGCACACACACACACACACACACACACACACACACACATACATCTTGTAAAATCTTTAATTCACCATCTGCCTTACAAAATACTTATGCGAGATGTATAGCAATTGTGAGAGATGTATAGCAATTATATGACTGGTTTGTGCTTCATCCAGTATTCCATGGACCTTGTAGAGTCTAGGGAGGTCTGTTGTAACACAGCTAGTTTTTATGACCAATTACTTTTAAGTATTTTAAACTAATTATTTGTAGAATTAAAATTTGATTATCAGAGTACAAAATGTACATATAAAATATAAAATTTAAATGGGCATCCATGTTTCCACCGTGGTAGTCACTGCACTTTCTTTCTTTTTTAAACAGTTTAGGGACAAGATGTAGTTTTCAAAATAAGTTAAATTTAATATGGGAATATTAAACAACAACATAAGTTGCAGACATTGAAACAAAATGTGTTGCAACACTCTCCGCACTTCCCAAAGCTCATTTCACTCTACAATCTTTTTAGCATGCACAGCTTTCTGACTTTAGGTTCTTGTTTAATAGAAATACTACTCACAAAAATGAAAATTCTGTCATTTTTCGTACCCTCATGTTGTAAAAAAAACTGTATGACTTTCTTACTTCTACAAAACACAAAAAAGAAGCCCACTGCATTCAACTGTATGGATGCTCAAAATACCTTCTTCTGTGTTGCACAGAAAACAATGCTTTTTTTTTTGGAACAACATCAAGGGGTAAATGATGACAAATTTTGTTTGGGTGGAGTATCCCTTTAAGTTCTGTTACAGCATTCTCATAAAATATTTGATCTAATAAATGAACAACAAAACCAGAAGGTAGTTATTAGTTCAATTATTGAACTGACAAAAAAAAATGCTGTTTAGCAAATTATATTTAATATCTCTATAAGTTACATTTTTGGTTTGCATAAATAATAAAATATAATAAAATAAAACAAGGAGCTGAATAGTGGAACGTATATTAAGTGTACTCACAGGTGGGCAGACTCACACTCAGGATAAGAGACAGGAAGGTGTTCATGGTGAAGACTAGATGAACAAATGTTAGTAGCCATTTATTTATAGGTCTAAAACTTATTTATATAACCTTGATGGGAAGTGCACATTGATAAGCTAACTTTGTGAATTAGAAACATAAGATATGTTAATAAATATGCATGCACACACACAAGCGCCCAAAAGGAAAGTTGCTGAGATTGTTAGTTTTGTCCAAGTTGAGTGTGTTTATGTATTGTCTATGTGTACTTATACTTAACCATATTTTTGGGACAAATTTGTACCCAAAAGTGAGCTAAACCTGACAAAATCACCAAAAACCTCCCTTTGCGGATGTCCTCATTTGTATAACTAGTATAAACAAGTATTAACTAGTATAAAAAAATAAAGTTTTTTTTTTTTAAATTGTACAAATGCAGAAAGTTTTCTGTAAGGGTTGGTGTAGGACAATAGAATATACAGTTTGTACAGTATAAAACCATTATGCCTATGGGATGTCCCTATTTAGATAGCTAAGTAAACGTGTGTGTGTGTGTGTGTTTATCTTTGGGAACGTCAGCATGTGTTTGCAATTTGCACAGCTGGTAAAAGAAGAATTCAGTTTTCTCGAAAAAGCATGAGAATTTCATAAGGCTTGGAAAAAGTTACAAAATGCTTGAGTACATGCAAAACAGCTGTCGGCACACAAAAGGGTTTAAATGACCAAAATGACAACAAATAACACGGATATGTTCAGTGCATGCACATTTCACTTATTGCAGGGTATTTTGTTGTGGTATATGAGTGTGAGAGTGACTGTGAATGCAGTGAGAGCAGTAAGAAAGCTGCTGGTCTCTGGAAGCTGAGCTGCAAACACTCGAGGGCAGATGATTATTGGAGGCATTATAAGGGGATTGAGCAAAACACTCCGCTGCAGCCTTGTCGCACTTGCATATGAACATTTCACACTCATCATTACTGTCTGAAAGAGAAAAAGAGAGGTTGTATAAAGGAGTATGTTTAATTTGATTAAATACACACTTCAGCTATTACTTGCAGATAATATAAGACTATAATATAACACAAGGCCACTTAAATGTACTCAAACAGAGTACACTTTAAAGACAGTGTAATAACACACTTATGTACACTTAAAATGTGATGTGTTTTAAAGTACACTTATGTGTTATAAGTAATATTAAAGTTAACATTTTACTGAACTGCAACTTCATCATTACAAATGTCTAATTACAAATGAATAGTTTATTTGCAAAAACAGATAATTCGATAAAGTGTTTAGTGTTAGTTAGCTGTATTTTTTTTTCTTATTTTTTTAACCTAATCAAAATAACCCAACTGCAGTTTGATTGAGATTTATTGGAATGCACAATGAAAAAACATGATTTTCAAAAATTGTTAAAAACAGAGTTATCTGTTTTTGCAAATGAACTCTTCAAACATACTTTACCATAAATGCTTGTCAGTATTCAAAAGTACACATTTTCACTTTATTTCACTTTATTTCATGGTATCCTTGTTACACATGTTACATGTACTTACTATTATAATAACAACAAATTATGCATAATTACATGCAAGTAGCCCTAATCCTAACCATATAGTAAGTAGTTAACATGCAGTAATTTGTCTGAAAGATTTATAGTTTGCAGTATATTTTTCTGTACTCTTTAAAAATGCTCCGAATTATATTTTGATGCTCAAAATGCTCAGAATTATATTATATAAAGTTAACTTATACAACAGTTAATTGTGTTCCATTGGTTGTATGTCTGTTTGTTTCAAACAAACTGTCAGTTTTGTATTAGTTGTGGGGAATTTCATTAAGTTTTTCTGCAGTTATTCTGCAGCCATTGAACCAACCGATTCGTTCAACAACACTGGTTCAGTCAGGAATTTTTAGTGAATCATTGATTCATTCACTCAACCGATTCGTTCAACAACACTGGTTCAGTCAGGAATTTTTAGTGAATCATTGATTCATTCACTCAACCGATTCGTTCAACAACACTGGTTCAGTCAGGAATTTTTAGTGAATCATTGATTCATTCACTCAACCGATTCGTTCAACAACACTGGTTCAGTCAGGAATTTTTAGTGAATCATTGATTCATTCACTCAACCGATTCGTTCAACAACACTGGTTCAGTCAGGAATTTTTAGTGAATCATTGATTCATTCACTCAACCGATTCGTTCAACAACACTGGTTCAGTCAGGAATTTTTAGTGAATCATTGATTCATTCACTCAACCGATTCGTTCAACAACACTGGTTCAGTCAGGAATTTTGAGTGAATCATTGATTCATTCACTCAACCGATTCGTTCAACAACACTGGTTCAGTCAGGAATTTTGAGTGAATCATTGATTCATTCACTCAACCGATTCGTTCAGCAACATTGATTCATTCGGAAAATAAATGCCACTTGTTCGCAGACGCGCAACAGTTAGGCTAATTCAGCTGTGGCTTGTCTTGAAAAAAGTTCTGATAGCAGAGAAAAAAATATACTTTTTTTTTGTAAGTTTTTTTTTTTTTTAATGTGTGTAAATGTTACATGTGATGTCGCTGATATATATATTTTTCTTCATGTTGGCATCCCCGCATTTTCACTCACCCAGACACGTGGCCGTTTTGGTATTCTCATCACACTTGTAGTCATATGTGTTTGTGTAGGGATTGTCAAACACTGATGAGCAGGACTGAAGGGTCTTTGCTGTGCCATAGCAGGCATCATGGGTAAAACAACACCTACCAGGTCATTAGAGAAAGAGCATTAATAATGAAAGAGCATTAATAATACACAATTACTCAGAATAAATACTGTGTAATAAACACTAACACATTCTCACTGAATATAATATAATACACTAACTGGTCGAGCTGGTCAACAGGCGTCCCTGTACCACCTAAACCGCAAAAGCAGCCATAGTCTGCAAAGTCCAGCAGAGGTGTACTGTCCGGTACTGTGCACTTAATCATGTCCTCGAACTGCAGCAAGTTTTTAATGCTGTTCAGATGAGCTACAGAGAAGATATTACTGGTAAACTCAAGTGCTAAATGTGGTTTTGAATCAGTTTGAGTAATAAAGCAAATCTACTGACAGGAACAAACTGCTAGCGTGTTAGAATGTTGCATTATTTACACTACCATTCAAAAGTTTGGGGTCTGTAAGGTTTAATACTTTTTTCAGCAATTATGCATTATATTGATCAAATGTGTCAATTTTGTTTAAATCAGTTCACATGAAATTAGAAAAAGTTGTAATGAATCAGCATGTCATTGTTAAGAAGGTTAACAATACTTACATGTTGGCAGAGTCACAGTAAGGATCAAGAGTGTGAGACAGACAGCCATGCCACTGCAAGAAGCAAATAACTTCATAGTGTATATATTATTGTAGATCTATTAATTTTACTGTTGTTTTCTCACACATTGGGGAAAAAAGAGATTTCTCAGAGATTAGAAATTTGCAGCAGCTTTTTGTCTCCTGTCTGAGATCCTGGAGCTTAACCATGTTCAAAAAGGCCATTGAGATCAGTTGAGAGAATGTGCATATTGCTTTGGATAAAATAGTGTCATTTTTTAAACATTACATGAAAATTTAAATATACCAACCCAAACTCTATTTTTACAAGCTGTGTTGCGCAGCATTGTTCTAAACTTCACATCCCTTACAACCTTTTACCTCTAACTATAGGCACAAATCTTCTTGGGCACAATGCTTGTGCTGTATAGTTTAATTCCTCACTTGGCATCGTGTATAAGTGTCTTCTGAATAAATAAAGGCATGTTGGAGAACTGAGGCTGGTTGGGTGTGGCTTCACATGTCAACTAAAACACACTTTTCTCTTGATGCAGTAAAACACTGTGACATAACAATTCTCATGAGACATACTACCTAAGCTAAATGATGCAAAACACAGATTAAGACTCCAGGAGAATGAATATTCAACCTGCTTTAAACAAATACATACTTTACACTACTGCTCCATTTACTGTATATTTTATCTATTTATAAATAGTGTATGTCTATCTGTTATGTAATCCAAATATAGCCATATAGAGAGCAAGGTTGTATAAATTCTAAAAGGGCTTAAATTCCTTTTCAGTCACAGTTAACAACACTCTTTCCTTAACTTAATTTCATTTATTATAAATGACTAAAATAATATGTGGGATAATTGTAGCTTATGATCTTACTGTAGACAGTGCATTACTCTCAATAACAGCGCAGATGTATTTCTGACTATATTATGCGACACCTTTGCATGCTACCATTTAATCATAATGTTCGTAATGGAAAAGTCAATATAATAAAGAAAATATAAAGTCAATATAACAATGACTATTTCACTATCTTACCTCCAATATCCAAAGGCTTCCTTTCTGGCTAAATGATTTAAGCAATAAACGCTGTAATTTTCCAATGCAGTAGTTCTACTATAGCGAGATAAAGCGCTATGCCAATCACTATGACTTGCACCATATCACTGTCTCTTCTCTAATTGACAGTCTTCCTTTTGTAGACAGGATTTTTTAAAAATTATTTGTACATGTGAGCAGCTTGTTATTTAAGTCAACCAGTCTGTCGACTAGTTTGGTGCATTACATACTTTGCATTGTTCATGAAACCTGTCACATACCTTTATGACAGAGAAAAAAGACTTTAACTGAACTTCACATCTCAAAATAAGAGAGATTAAAGGGGGTCATATGATGCGATTTCAAGTTTTCCTTTCTCTTTGGAGTGTTACAAGCTGTTTGTGCATAGATAAGATCCCTAAAGTTGCAAAGACTAAAGTCTCAAACCCAAAGAGATATCCTTTATAAAAGTGAAGATTCGTCCACGCCCTCCTAAAACGCCTTGTTTAAACACGCCCCCACATGTCTACGTCACTGTGTGGGAAGATTTGCATAACACTGCCCAAATGTTCACGCAAAGAAAGAAGGCGTAACTTTATTGTTGTTGCTGATTTGTGCTACCCGCTCAGATTGTGCTACCGCCCATTAAAAAGATAGGTAGCACAAATCGATAGCGAAAAATGCTACCTATCAGATTGTGCTACCAGCATCTTATTCATGTGGTTTGAGGCTTTTTTAATGTCCATACCTACCCCTACCCTAAACCTACCCGTCCATATCTACCCTTACCCTAAACTTACCCTTAAAACAATGGAAATATATTTTGGGTAGCACAATCTGATAGGTAGCATGTTTCATTGGTACACCGGCTGTTCTGACTCACAGTCTGACCGCATAAACACATTTCATTACACCAAATACACAAAATAATGTTCTTTTTAGCAACATCATATGACCCCTTTAAAGCAAGTTGCTAGTAAATTTATCAGCCGATTTTGCCAAGTCTTTTAAGTAACAGGTGGCATTTTCCTTTCTCTGCCCATATGCTCCACTTTTGGTATAAAAACCAAGATTACATTGAAACTGTTATCAGCTGTTAAGCTGAATTTAAATGCATTCATAACGTATTTAGATTTTTTTTCCCGCTTGACAGTCCTATTGGAATTTGTACCATAATGGCAAAGGATCCTACTGAGATCAAATAAGAATCTTCAATGTCAATCAGTTTTGTATTGTGTAATGTTAAATCATAACAATCTTAGATCTAGTTTTTTGTTTTGGTGAAACTCTTTAAAATCTTTCCTGTGTGATCTTTTAGGATGGATTCCAAATTACGAAACAGTATCACACTAACTTTGATAAGCTTGTTTTCAAGGCTCATGCCAGGCTGGGGTGTTGCAGATCAGAGATTTCCTGCAAACTAAAAACACCACAATTATTTAACTCAGTTTAGCAGGACTTTCAACACTGTCGCCTGGTTACATCAAAAAAAAAACACACACACACACACTCACAACTGTCTCAGCCAACCCTAATGACCAAAACAGTTGCCATGATAACTGTGTAGGGATTTCGATAATATAGACTAGCTTACAGAAACCATCGTTATCTACAAGAGAACATTCAATTACCTCTGTGCAAAATGTGACAAAGAAAACCTTGCATTGAGAAAAACATAAACATAATGCATGATACCCATATAGACAGATATGTAGTGCTCATATTAAAGCCTATGAAAGCAGCAGAACATTTAAAAAGTATAGATTATCCAACAAAATACGCTATCAGTGTGTGATTGCTTCATGTAAACAAACAATACACAAATAATATTTTAGTGCGCATTTTATTAGCACAATGGTCCATTCATCAACAGTTATCATTTTATTTGCAGATTTTCTAAATCCAGAGGAACGTAATGGGAATGTTCACATTAAATGTCAAATGTCTTTTAGTAACATCCCAGGAATCAAGATCTCTAAGAAAAGACGAAAACAGACATCACAGATGTCCTTTGAATGATCAAGGAGTATTTTGAAATTCATAAACTGAAAAGCCACATACAAAACACGTCTGCAAGCTGATATTTTTACATTTGGCAAACGCATTACATTATTTGTGCAAACATTGTAAATATTGGTTTATGGATCGGACGCTGACATTCAGAAACACACAAATATAAACTCACAGAGACGCATGCGTTTGGTGACGTTTGATAGGTATGGTCCCTTTCTTCGATGAATAACATTTAGTAGTATAAGGCAGAAACCAGAGAGAATAGTGTTGGTGGATTGAGATCATATAGGCTTGTACAGCAGTGTGGTCACATACTTCTTTTTGTAGCGGTGTGTCGCACTAAGAACCATCACGCCATCCTGTGTGAGGAGAGCAAACAGATGCACATCAGTGATATCAACTGAAAATGCTGGTCACCTCTACCATATGCAAAATAAAAATGATTAAAGGGATAGTTCACCTGAAAATAATAACTAATTTACTCAATAACTCATTACTCACTCGTATCTACTAAAGTAATGATACTTTTATGGTGCTTTTGCTATTTTTGGACAGCAACATCTACTTTTGTGTTGCACTGAAGAAAAATAAACGTGTCACAGATTTTGACTGAAATTAGCGTTATTAAATAACAAAAGGTTCATTTTTGGGTGAACTATCACTGAGGGTGTGGACATTATTAGATAATTTCTTCTATGAGTCTCTTCTAAAGTGTGTGTGGAGTTTGCTGCCAGACCTTGATGGAAAGGGCGTACAGGTGGTTGAGCATCACATGGTTTGGTTCAGGCAGCAGGGTTGGGTCACACTGTTAAAAGTAGACATGGGAACATGTTAGGGAAAGTCTCTGCTTTCTAAAATTGCCCACACTCAGCAATTTCCAACCATAGGCTCTTTATCTTTTCTTATCTCTTTAAGCCCAAAAAGGAATCGCTTTAACTGCAACACTGTATTTACAAAGAATCGACCTCCTCTCAAATCACTTGATCGCTTTCCATCAGATTTCATGTGTGTAAGAAAACCCAAATGAAGTGTTTAGGTAATGGAAATAGTTGAATGTTCCAGAAAGCTAGCTAGCTAAATAAATAACCAAAACAACAAAAATATACACCATTGTTAATTTTCTATTTCTTTTAAATACTATTACATTATTTATTTAATATTATGAATGCACTTTTTAGATTACTTTTCTAAAATTACTAAAACTTTAACATTTTTGTTCAAGTTTTAGTAATTTTTCCATATGCTTTGCCATGCGATTTTGTGCTTAAGAAAAACCTACATTTATTTGAAAAAGTTATATTGTGAAATATTATTGCAATATAAAATAATGTTTTTCTATTATAATATACTTAACTTTTTTTCTGTGATCCAAAACTGAATTTTCATCAGCCATTACTCCAGTCTTCAGAAATCATTCTAATATGCTGATTTATTATCAATGTTGGAAAGAGTAGTGTTGTTATATATATATATATTTATTTGGAACCTGTGATACTTTTTTCAGTATTGTTTGATAAATAAAAAAGAACAGCATTTATTTAATTAACCTTTCAAAAGTTTGGGGTCAGTATTTTTTTATTTCTTTTTATTGATATAAATTAATA